CCCTCAGGTCCCCAGCAGGAATCAGCAACCAGGAATAGACACAAAAGGCCCCCCCAAAGAGTTCTGAGGGAGTGTCCTGTAGGGAGGGGACAGTGTCACCCCACCAGGGCGGGGCTGGCAAGTGGGAGGCTGCTCCAGGGGTCTGCAAGAGGCCTCGTGCTCTGCTCAGCCCCAGCATTGCCTGGTACCAACACCCCCGGCTGCCCCCGGCCCTGGGCAGCTCTGCTGCCACAGGCTGTGCCCTCACCGTGGCCCTGCAATGGCCCTGCCTGTCCCTCACCCGGGGCCCTGCCCGTGGCCCTGTCCCTTGGCTCTCTCTCTGCCAGCTCAGTGTGGGGCACACGGGCTGGGGGTCCCTCCCAAGCCCCCCGGCAGCCGGCGTTGGCTGGGGGGATGTGAGGGCTGGGCCTGCTCAGCACAGCCCCGGCCTCGTGCCCAGCGCCTCTTTCCTGACCCACACAAGACCTTCCCGGCCCCCCCAGGGCTCCCCTGCTGCTGCCTCTGCTCCTGGCCCTGCCTTTGCTGCTCCCTGGGCTGGGGCAGCGGCTGCAGGGGGGGATGGCAGCAGCTTCAGCTCCACGGCACTTCCTGGGGGGAGCTCAGCCCGGGGGGACGGGCAGGGACCTGATGGGGATGGACAGGGGTCCAGCAGAGACAGCCAGGGTCTGCAGGGGAAGGCACAGGGACAACCTGGACCCCCACACTGACACCGCTGTCTCTGCTCCTCCTTGCAGGCTCCGTGGCCAGGCACAGTTTGTGTTCCTGGGTGCCCACCATCTCAGCACTTGGAGACGCTCAAATCAGCGCCCGCAGCTCTGCAGCAAAGCCCCAGCTCACCTGGCACACAGGGGATGGACACAGCACCTGCTCGGGGATGGGCATTCACAGTTTTGTCTTCTTCCCCACCACGGGGCTCTCCTTCCTCAGCAGCACCTCTGCCTTGCACTTATTCTCAGCCTCACCTCAGGGACAGCTCTGGGCTCACCTCCGCGCCACTTCTCAGCCTCACCGCAGGGCCTGGGCTCAAGGACAGGAACCTGCAGGGAGGGGACATCAGGTGCAAGCTGAGGGCTGCCTGCTTGCACTGGCCTCTGGGCTTCTTTCTCCTTCTACAACCATCCCACAACTTAGTCTGCTTTTCTAACACCACACATTTACAGACTAACCTTGGAGATAGATATGGACAGACATCTCTATCACCCTGGGGATAGAGCCTCAAGCATGTGCTGCCATAGGAATGGCAATCACAGAATCACAGAATCAGCCACGTTGGAAAAGACCTCCGAGATCATCAAGTCCAACCCTGGATCCATCCCCGCTGTGCTTCCCAGACCATGGCACTGAGGCCACATCCACTCTCACCTTCAACACCTCCAGGGACGCTGACTCCACCCCCTCCCTGCCCAGCCCATTCCAAGGCCTGATTACTCTCTCTGTAAAAAATTGCTTCCTAATATCCAACCTAAACCTCCCCTGGCACAGCTCAAGACCCAGCCCTCTTGTCCTACTGCTGCTTCCTGGCACAACAGCCCCACCCCCACCTGGCTCCAACCTCCTGGCAGGGACTTGCAGACAGTCAGGAGGTCTCCCCTGAGCCTCCTCTTCTCCAGCCTCAACACCCCCAGCTCCCTCAGCCTCTCCTCACACCACTTGTGCTCCACTCCCCTCCCCAGCCTCGCTGCTCTTCTCTGCTCCTGCTCCAGCCCCTCCAGGGCCTTCCTCAACTCAGGGCCCAGAGCTGGACACAGCACTCCAGGGGTGGCCTCACCAGCGCTCACTCCAGCCCAACAATCACTTCCCTGCTCCTGCTGACACACTCTTCCTCACACAGGACACCAGCCATTGGCCCTCTTGGCCACCTGGCCACACTGCCTCCTCTTCAGCTTCCTGTCCATCCCCACTCCCAGCTCCCTTTCTGCCTGCCTGCTCTCCAGACACTCTGGCCCCAGCCCGGGGGGCTGACGGGGCTTCTTGTGCCCAAAGGGCAGGACCCGGCCCTTGGCCTGCTGGAACCTCATCCCCGTGCAATCAGCCCATGGATCCAGCTGGGCCAGGTCCCTCTGCAGAGCCCTCCTGCCTTCCAGCACATCAACACACCCCCAGCTTGGGGTCACCTGCACATTTGCTGATGAAATGCCTGGTTCTGCAGCAGCTGCAGATGCTCAAGGGGCAGCAGGACCAAGTCAGGGGCCTGGGGGGGCCTGGGGGGCTTTGGGGTCTGGGAGGGTCCTGGGGGAGCTGGGGAGGGGCTTTGGGGATTGGGGGTACAGATCAGTACAGACCAGTACCTCCTCACTGCTCCCTGGATCTCTCTTGGAGCTGGGCCACGTTGTCCTGGGACATCTGAGCACCCCGCAGTGCCCTCCCAGTACAGCCCAGTGCCCCCAGTACAGCCCACTGTGTTCCTGTCCCAGGGTGCCAGGGTGCCCCCCTCTTTGGGGAGGTTGGAATGGATTTGAGGGGGGGGGCTGGGGGAGATCTGAAGGGATCTGGGGGTTTGGATGTGGAATTTGGGGGTGTTTAGGGGTCTTTGGGTGTATTTGGGAGAGTTAAAACAGGTTTTGGGGGCATTGGGGCATCAAAGGGATCTGTGGGGGGAGGGGACTAAAGGGAAAATGAAGGTTAAGGGACATATGGGGAGGTTAAAGAGGTCTGGGGGGGAGATGAGGGGCTGCACCAAGAGCAGCTGAGTCCTGAGACCTCCCCGGTGTCCCCAAGACCCTCTTGGTGTTCCTAATTCTCCCCTTGACACTCCAAGACAACCCTGGTGTCTCCAGTGTCCCCAGGGCCTCCCCATTGCCATTATTCCCCCCTTGACACCCCCAATTCCACTGGCCCCAAGCGCCATGCCTGATGTCCCCAACCCTCCATCTCACCGCAAGAGCCCCCCCTGGACCCTCTGACCCCAAAAATGCCCCCCCACACGCTCATAGAAAGGCCAAGGGCATCTGGGGACACGTTGGGGACAGTTGGGGGGCTTTGCAGGGCACTGGGTGATTATTGGAGGATACTGGGACACACTGGGGGGAACCAGAGGGCACTGGGAGGGACTAGAGGGTTACTGAGGGATCCTGGAAGGGCACTGGGAGGGACTGGGGAGTTACTGGGGGATTATCAGGACACAGGGAGAGACACTGGCAGGTTACTGGGCCATACTGGGGGTTACTGGGTGCTCACTGGAACATCACTGGGCCATACTGGGGGGCAGTGGGAGGTCACTGGGACACACTGGCTGGTCACTGAGGGGGTTACTGGGCCGTACTGAGGGGCACTTGGATCCCCTAAACCCAGATGCGGTACATCTCCCCCCCGGACTTTGGGGGGCACCCCCAGGACTCCTCCCCTGGGGGCTGGGAGATCCCCTGAACCCCACTGCTGGGCTTTAGGGGACCCCCAGACCCCAGTCCCTTTGGGGTCTCTGTGTGCTGCGTGTTGGGGGTCTCTGGGGTTCGGAGGGGGCATTGGGATCCCCTTTCCCTGGGGTCGGTCCGCCGGGCCGGCAGGGGGCGCTGTGGTGGGAGGGGTAATGGCGGGTCGCGGGTAATGCCGGCGGGTAACGCCGGCGCGCCTGCGCAGTGCAGCCAGGGCGCTGGTACAGCCCCACCCCCTTCCCCCGCGCGGGCTCCAGGCCCCGCGCTCTGACCCTCGGGAACCCCCGAACCCCTCGGCTAAACCCTCCCGAGCCCTCCAGCCTTTCCACCCACAGCCGCGCTCCCCGCAGCCCCGAGCGGATCCCCAGAATCGCGCTCTCCGAGCGCAGCCGCACCTCCACCGCTACCGCTGCCCCGCAGACAACATGGCGCTCTGCGCACGCCCCGCCTCTCGAGCCCCCGCCGCAGCCAATCAGCGCTCGGCCCGTCCCCGCCCCGTCCCTGCCGGTCCCGCCCTGTCGGGTGAGCGGGGCGGGCACGGCGGGAAAGCGGCGGGGGGGAAAGAGCGGGGGGACCCCAAAGGGAGCGCGAGGGGCGGGGGGTCACCCCCAAAGGGAGCTGGGGGGAGCCGGGCTTTGAAGGGGCTGCTTTTCCAAACTGCCCTGCTTATCCCACATGTGCACACTTCTCTCCTGCTGGGATCTGGCCCAGACAAACCTGAAAATAACCTGGAAGTGCCACCTCCACCAGCACTTCCTCCACAGCTGCTTTCAAGGATTTCTCTTCAATTTGCCAAGGAAATGTTTCCAGATCATACTTCCATCTACAAGTCAGAACACCAGCCTGCACCAGGACTCCTGCTTGTTTTCCCTGCCCTTGCTGACAGGAGGTGCAGAGGCAGGATGTCAGCACTTCATCACCAACAGCCTTAACGGGGGATGACTCCACTTTTTAACCTTGGAAGAAGAGCAGCTTTTCCTTTTCCTCTCCTGTTTTTTGGGGTTAGTTTTTTTTTACCTTCTGAATAAAAGAACACGTGTAAATTGAAATAATCTGAACCCAACTTTTCAGAAGACTGACACCTTGGAGCAGCTTCCTCTTACCCCTCTCTCCATGTTGGAGGAGTGGCCAGATGAAGAGTTACCAGCCCATCCTGGCTTCCAGAATGGCACAGCTGGTGGTTAGAGATTCATCTCACAGTTATCTAGAATATGCCCAAACTTGTTCTGCCCTTCCTAATTCCTAACTCAGACCAATGGCTCCAAACCCAGCATCTGGGAGGCTGATTAGGTTGGCAAGAACATTTCCCTGTGTGATAACAGTGTGGGCACAAGGACTGGGAGTGTGTCATAAGAAATCTGACTTGCATACATGGGGTAGGAGATAAAAAAAAAACACAGATAAGCAGAAAAGGTTTGCAAGGAAGAATTGGCAGCAAATCTGTCAGAAGATTAGTGCAGGTGACTATCAAATACAGGAGAAAACATGATGAAAGGAGTAACTCATGACTCTTTATCTGAGCTATGAAATGAACAGTAACTTCAGCCACTGATGAGAGATTTTTTTTTAAATACAGAAGTGAGTTTGCAGTTGTAGCATTTTCCACATTAAAGCCTACAGCTGGTAAATAATAAAATAAGCAATTAAAAAGCAATCAAGCTTGCTGTTTCAAATAACAACAGTCTTCTTGCTCCCCTCCTTCCCCCAAGCCCCAGAACTTCACCACATCTCAGGTCTGTACTACTCACACACATCACTTGGCAGAGGAAAGCCACACAAAACAAAAGATAAAGAATAATGACTTGTTTTGGTAGGTACTGATGGTCACGTGTGTGGAATGGGAGGTCCCAAGAGGAGTGTCAGCTTGGTGGATGGTCCCTCTTGGGAAGCACAGTAAGTCACCTGGCTGCAAGAAAATTGATATATTTAGGGCACCAGGTCAAACCTTATTGCAGTCAGAGAAAATACTCCCTGAGCAGACAGTCTGACAATATATATCCTTTAGAATCACAAAATGGAGCAGTCCTGCAATGTACACTTTAATAACATAAAGAACACTAAGCCAGAAGTTCAGAACCTTAAACTTTCCAACCTGCTGTCAATATTTGCTGAAAACGTGAAACAAGGTTTTTAACATCACAGAACACACAGACTCCCACTGAGCTGCAGGAAGAGGACAAAGAAGCAGCTGAGATGGACCTGCTGGCAACACAGTGGGCTGGCAGAGGAGCAGTGAAATGGGGATTTGGTCAGATCACATCAAAAGAAAAGGCTAGTATTCCACGAGAAAAGCCAAATATTCTGTAAAAATGGTAATCTGTTACAGTAGTGTTGTCTGAGATTTTCAGTTAAAGCACTTAAAAAACAGGTATGACCTTCCTCCTCCTCCTCCCTATCTTTCTTCTCACCTATGTAAATTAAAACTCCACACTGAAAAAAAAACTAGATAAGGAAAGTCAAGACAAAAAAGGTGTAAAGCACATAAAATTGCCTCCAAGAAGGAAATAAAAGTTTACTTGTGGCTTGTCCTGTAAACACCTACAGAGTTGGACAGCACAGTCAAAGAAAACTGCCTTCCTTACCAGAGTGGGGACTACACCAACCAAGAGTATTCTGAATTCTCTTCATTTGAAAGATGGAGAAAGGAAATATTCTAGAAAGATGTTTAGGGAGGAAATAGAGTCAAACAACAGCATCCCTCTCAGAAGCAGCCACAAAGAGACAACCAAACTTTGACAGCAGCCACCCAGAAGAAATGGGTCACAGGAAGTGAACAACAGCAAACAGAAGAAAAATAAATTAAAAACTTGGATAACTTTTAAGCCCATCATTATTCCATAAAAATGAAAGGCACTGAAGTCTGGTCCAAAATATTCCAGGAATGAAAAAGGGAACTGTATTTTACCAGACTTTGCATCACCCAGTACACGATGACGATTGAATATTCCCCTCTGTCAAACAACACAGTTCATGATGTCAGCATCCCATCCAATGTGTCACACTGTTCCTAAAACACCTACACCATCCAACATGTCACACTATTCCTAAAACACCGACACCCAAATGCAGCTCTGGACACTGAGAAGAGCAGAGAGAGGCTCCATAACAGGCCAAAAGGCAGAGAAACTCCTGAGGATTCCAACATGGAGCAGCAGCACCAGCTGGACAAGTAACACTTCAAAAGCAGGTCAAACAGAACAGGACAAGCACCAGATTCCCTGCTGACACTCAGTAATCTTCATGAAATGTTCCTTTTATTCCAAAAATCAACCACCAACCAAACACTTGAATTTCACGTTTGGAAAAAGGAAGAGCAATTAATACAGCAAGTTCATATGGGGTTTGGGTCATGCTTCTCTTTATCAGCCAAGGATAAATATTTAAATCTCATTCACCAGAACAGTGACAATGTTCAGTGCAGCAGTAAGTCTCAGTGCACAGGAGGATTAGCCTGAGGGATTACAGGCAGCATGTAAAAGCATAAAAATGTTTTAGAACCATACACAAACCCAGTGTTTTTTCTGCACACAACTCCACAAACATGACCTAGGAGTCAGGGTGCCCAACCTGGAGAGTAGTAGTCAATTTACAGAAATAACTGGGGGTTTTGGCCCATTATTTAAATACTAGAAGCAAAGGATACCTTTAAAAAAGGATACAGACAACTATCACCCAAATTTCTCGTGCTCGCAGTGTGCAAACCCTCCCCTCATTAATTTTTAGATGGCTACAATTCAGAGAAATTTAAATTTGAACTCATTTTTTTTTGTCTCTATTTAGAGACAACAGACAGAGGAGTTGTGAAGTGGGATCTGTTTTATCCTAAGGCAGGCATTTGGAAATCCCTGTTTCTCTCCAGTCACTTCAGTAAGTGCTAGAGAACTAACCTAAAAGGAACATCTGCCACACAAATAGCCAAAATTTCAGGTGAAAGAGGCTTATCCCCAACAGAGCATCAGAAACCTCTATAGGGTGCCCAGTGGGGGTAGATGGCATGAGTTAGAAATGCTGGATGTGAGGCTGCTGAATAACAAGCATAAGGAAAATGAAACCCCAGGTGTATTGAATGGAAATGAAAATATTAAAAAGCAAAATAGACATATAAGGATTGGATTTTTTGATTTGGTTTAAGTGGGATAGTCCAATTTTTTCTTTATAACGCAGTGTATATTTGTATGTTTCTTTTGGAAGCTGATTTAAAATGCATTTGGACCACAGGAATTCATCATATCAGTAACTTCTTAAAAACAGCAGGACCAACAAGCACAACCAGTCTGCTGTTACAGTCCAGCTGAAGAAAGAGCAAGTACTTAGTAAAGGAAAAAGGACTTGTAAATTCTTGGGGCCTGAATGAAAATGAAAAAACAGGTGCTAGAAAGCTTCTGCAGCTGTGAAAACAAACTTCTCTTTTTATCTAAGGGAAATACCAGGTCTGGAAAACCCAGTTTACATGATATTATGATTAGATATTACTATTAGTAAATTTTCAGCAAAAATATGTAAGAAAAACGACTACAAGGAAACACAAATAAAAAAAAACACATTTTCCTGTAATGTTTAGTGGGGGGGAGGGTTAGAAGCACACACACAACAGCAAACACTGCCATCAGCAAAAGCCCATGCACAGTTTCCCAGGCAAGGTTGTGCTGTCCTACCTCAACATCATCATAGTGAGGAGGAAGGCCCTGGGATCCCTGGGCAGTGATGGAAACATTGGACCCCACCAGAGACCCAAAGCAGCACTCCAGCTTCTCCTGAAAATCTTCCACAGCTCCTCCTGTAAAAAAAAAAGATGCTGTTACTTGCTGAAGAGCTCAGGCAAGCCCAGCCCACATCCTCCCCATGGCTTGGGAAGAATGATCACATCAGGGACACAGAGGCTGGGAAGGAAGGTGCTCTGTACCAGTGTTTCTCCTGAAGGAGAGCACTGGAGATGCAAAGGGGATCTGCCAGGAGAGTCACTGCTAAGCCAAAAAGTCTGGTGCCCCAACCTGGGTTTGTTCTCTTCCCTGTGCCATCTTTAGGCTGCACAACCAGACAGACAAGGCTGAACAGAGGAAAATAATCCCACAAACAGCAGAACACCATAAGACAATAAGCACATGCAGGACCTGCATTCTCTCACCAGAGAGAACATACAAAGGTTAGAGACCTTTCACCAGTTACTCCAATCATTTGGGAATATTCAAAACCAAACTTGACTCATCCACACCCCACATGTGACAGACAAGGCACCGAAGGGAAACAGCAGAACGTGCCAAGTACCAGATCCACACAAGGGCAGCTTGGCCATTAAAGCTGACAGCAGCCAGGAACACTATACCTGGGACTCAGCTTGTATTTGGGATCTCATTTGGGTCCACCTCACAATTCAATTGTGCTGACACCTTCAAGGCTACCTGAATCAAAGCACCTCCAAGAATCCAAGTCCTTTACACAACTGTGCAGCACCACTGTCTCCTTCTCAAACTCAAGGACTGAGAACACTCAGCTAAAATGGGCTGGTACCTTTCCATGGTGCAATTCACTGGCAAGAACACTGGAAATATTTCACATGGTTTCACACCTTACCCTCCATTAAAGGGAAGTGGCTCAAAAGCCACAAAGTTTGCACAAGGAAACAGTGGGGCAGAAGGGATAATTTAAGCACAGATGCCTAATCATCAATTTTGTGCATTTGTTTTTGTTTCCAAACTTTTATGTGACAGAGCAAAATTTTAAAAAGAATATATTATTATACATATTATAGCATGAATCAGATTTTGTTCTTACTGCAGAGCAGTGAAACATGATGGACAGTGCAAAAGTATAAACTGTGTTTTAATCCAGCTCATGTAAAGATTTCAGCAGGTCATCATTGTCAACCACTTGCCCTGGGGACAGAGATGAAGCCATGTCTAGTGCAACTCAAGCAAAACACACCACATTATTGAGCCAGCATCAATTATATCCAGGGAAACAATCCCACCTTAAATCTCTGAGGCTGATGAAACTGTATTCTTGCCTTTTTCTGGTCAAAATCCTTCTTCAGCTGCATGTAATTCACTTTGCCTTCTTTATTTATTATTATCTTTCTTGGGCATGGTCCCTGTTCAAGAGGAGAGAGGACCAAAACAATCAACCAGCAACACAACCTCAAGAGCTCACGGGCCCAGAGCAACAACTCTTCCCCTACCCAGTGGGATATCAGAGTATCCCGGGAACAGCTCTGGTTTCAGAGCCTCACTATTTGCTCCAAAGCATTAACAGTTTACAGAAGACAGGGAACATTGTTAGGCCTTCCTGTTGATGCTCTGTAATTACTACATTTACAAGTTTAAAACTTGTCAAATTTACCAGTTTAAAAGGCCAAGATTCTGCTTTCAGTCCTGTCGAGCTGTCAAACTTTGTTTATGTAGAACAAAAAGAATTCTTTCACACAAGCACAGACATTTCATTTTAAAGCTGGAAGTCATTTACTTTGTTTTTCCCAGGCAGATAGTATGATTGTGTACCATTATGCAAAAATAAAGAAGTTGATCTACAAATGGTTTGGCTGCCAAATTCTCAGGAAAGTTAAGGGGAAAATCAAGTAACGGTAGGTAACTGTGCAAGTCTGGAAAGCCAACACCTGAGAAGTTTGAACGTGCTGATGCCATAATTTCTAAGTAAAAATGACAGCTCTACTCCCTACACCCATTTGATAGGAAATGCTATCAATTTGTTGAGATACTTTTATTTACACAGATCCCGTATTTTGAAACTTAAACTCCAGTTCTGGTATTTACATGCAGCACTAAGTTCTTCTGTGCAGCAGGACACCCTTGCTGGCCCACTAACTCCTGGGCAGTGTTTCATCAGCAGCTCCTGCACAGCCTGTCCCTCAGCAGTAACCGAGGGTCACCTCAGCCCTGCAGGAGGGAATTCACATCACCTCCTTCCTGAGAGAATGAACATTCCCAACTGCAGCACGAGGCAAGGGAATGCGTACAAAATTAAAGACTGAAAATCAGTCCCTGACTGACAGCAAGATCTGAAGATGCTGCTGAAGGCACCAAGATCTAAAGCTGACATCCCCAAATGACAGCAACACAAATGCAACCAAGCCTGGATTAACAGTTTTGAATTCCAGACCTAAATCCATTGTACCAACCTCTCAGCTCATTCACACTGATTTAAAGAAGTTACATTCAGATATTTACTATTCATAGAACGCAGCTTCATTTACAACACGGGCTGTTCTGTAGCGTTCTGCTGGTTATTACAGCTGTTCCAAGCCCCCTGCCATGGGCAGGGATACCTTCCACAAGATCTAGTTGCTCAAACCCCCATCCAACAGGATCCAACCAGGCCTTGAGCACTGCCAGGGATGGGGCATCCACAGCTTCTCGGGGCAACCTGAGCCAATGCCTCACCACCCTCCAGCAGAAAAAAATTCTCCCTTACATTTAGTCTAAACCTAAACCGTTCAGCTTAAACCCATTGCCCCTTGTCCTGCAGCTACAGGCCCTCATAAAAAGTCCCTCTCCATCTTTCTTGCACCACTTAAGTCCTGACAGGCTGCAAGGAGGTCTCCACAGAGACTTCTCCAGACTGAGCCATCCCAACTCTCCCAGCCTGTCTCCGCAGCTGCTCCATCCCTCTCATCATCTTCCTGGCCTTCCCTGGACTTGATCCAAGAGGTCTGTGCCCTTCTCACGCTGGGAGCTCCAGAGCTGGATGCAGCGCTCCAGGTGGAGAATCACCAGAGCGCGGCAGAGGGGCAGAACCCCCTCCCTCACCCACGGCCCGCTGAATGGGATGCAGGATACGCCCGGATTTCTGGGCTGGGAGCTCAGCGCCAGCTCAGCCCCAACTTTCCATCCACCAGCACCCCCAATTCCTTCCGTGCCGGGCTGGAGGACAAAGCCCAGCGCAGAACCCCACACGGGAGCAGCTGCTCCCCGCCAGGGCTGTTCCCTCCCACACCACGGCAGCTCCCTGGGAAGCGGCGGGAATGCCGCCGGGCACAGCGGGAATAGCGCCGGGCACAGCGGGAATAGCGCCGGGCACAGCGGGAATACCGCCGGGCACAGCGGCTCCGAGGACACGCGGTGTCCCCGCTCCCCCTCCCGGCTCCCGCCGCCTCCATCCAGCCCCTTCCCGTCCCGCGGCCCCGCACTCACCCGGGCAGGAGGGAGGATCGCGTGGGATCGGGGCGGGCCGGGATGGATCGGGGCGGGCGAGGGGAGGCGAGGCCAGGCTGGATGTGCCGGGTGGGAGCGGGAGGCGATCCTGCCGCGCTGGGAGTCACGGCAGCAGCCGCTTCCGGGCGGCCAGTCGGAAATCCGGCGGCATTCCAGGGTCATTCCAGTGTGTATTCCAGTAGGAACGCAGCAGCACTAAGGTTAATCAATCTGCTTCATACAACGGTGCCTGGGCTTCAGCTGCGTTATTTATTTTTTTTTCCTGGACCAAAAATCTTCTTCTAGAGTCTCCCTGAGTCTCCCTCAAAGAAAACTTTGGAATCCTCACCGAGCACGTGAAAACTTCCAGAAATATTTTTAGATGCCTGTTAATGGTTTGGTTTACGTTGGCTAATGATGTCAGAAACAAAAGAAAATGTTAGGTAGGCTTTGCTGAAGCTTTGTTCTTGTGTACTGGCTTGAAGGATACGAAGCAGAACTAGCAGAAATAAAAAAGGTGGATTTTGGAAACCTCAGCAGCCTTACAGTGCACGGCTGATGTTGGTACAAAGTGACACTGCCATAAGTGTAACTAGAAGGACCTTTCAATGACAGGTAAGAGAGGGGACTGTGCCCTGTCAACAACTTAAGGAGGGAGAATAACAGAGCCTTGCACATCTCCAACACCAGTCCAAATCCTTCCCTTTACGGAAAGTGGGTTTCAGTCTTGTTCCTCCTCACAGTGTGGTTGTTACACAGTCATAACTTCTGCTTCCCTGGCACCAGCTGGATCATTTGGAACAAATGTCCTGATTCCAGTGGGTTCTGCATTCACGGATGCATCCAGCAAATTCCTGTGTGCTGAGCAGAGAAAGTGGCAAAGTATAATATATAGAAAAGGGGGATGGAGGAGAGAAAAAGGCAAACGCTGCTCATACTGTTCAGTCCTTGTTCCTTTACCACCTGGACCGCTCTGTCGCCAGCTGACCAAAATATCCTGGTCACTTGAACGTGAAATAAGGAGTAATCAGCATGTGGCTGGGTTACCAGCAGAGAGATTTTGCCAGGGGTGAACCTACAGCTGTCCTAATTGTAGAAATGTGTACAAATGAGATAAAAAAATTTAAGTTTCTCTAGAAAGCTTTTTTTTCATAGTCCTGTGAGCTTCAAAGAAAAAGAAGACAATCTCCACTTTCTAATTCTGAGTTCATCACTACATCCCTCAACATCCAGGACATTTTGCAAAATTTATTAAACTTCAAATATTTTAATGTAAATGCTCACCAATAGTTGGGATATTCACAGTGAAAAATAGGGCACTGTCATGAAATTCTCTTTATTTCTTTCATGAGAATTAGCAAGCTTTGAAGAAGGAAGTAGTTCTCCAGACTTAAAAGGTTGCATCACCTAAATTAACACTCACAGGATGGGCGTACCAGCAGATGCTAAAAATAGAGAGGCCACATCCTGCACCTCAGCCGGTCACAGACACCCTTAAAAAATGTTATTTCTGTTCCAAAAATCCACAAAGTACCTCAGCATAACTGCCTGAACACCATCAGGGTGAATACTCAAACAAATACACATTTACATAATGGCTGTGGTGTTTTTAATTTGCTGTGGGACATAAACCCCACACATCTGAGCGGCTGCAAAACCAGTAGGAATGGGGAAATACTTTTGAGTACCTTTTTAAAGACTTCCGGGCTGATCTGGAGAGACAAATTGGCTAAAAGTATTTATTCCCATCCCAGTGGGGAAGGTAACACAGCTTCAGAGGAGGGTGGTGGGTGCTGTAACCAGCCCTCTAGCACCCCCCAGACGAGAAATAATGCGTTTAAATACCGTTTGTTATTTTTAACTACTAATACAAGCAACAGCTTTTTGAAGTGTAATTGATCCCGGTATCATCCCTGTCACTGCCTTAAGAAAATAAAAATTATAACCTTTGCTGTAAAAATATCCAGTCAAGTTTCATCAGCATTTACAAGGGCCTGTAGTGACAGCACAAGGGGGAATGGCTTCAAACTGAGAGAGGGCAGGTTTAGATGGGATATTACGAAAAAAATTCTTCCCTGTGAGGGTGGTGAGGCACTGAAACAAGTTACCCCAAGAATTTATGGATGCCCTATCCCTGGAAGTGTTCAAGGCCACGTTGGATGGAGCTCTGAGCAACCTGGGACAGTGGAAGGTGGAAGGACTGCCAATTCCAGCACAGGGCTCCTGCAAGCACACGACTCTACCTCCACCCTGGAAAGAAAGCCCTTACCCTCCATCTCTCATGTGCAGTTGGTGGGGCAGCCTGGGCACTCGGTGGGCAGCAAGAGCTTTCTGTGGTGGCACCTTTTGTCTGGCAGGAATCTTCAGTTGGATTCAATTTTGGGGAGGTGGGACCGGCCATTGCAGCGCAGGGCTGAAAAAAGAGAGCAACAGCCCTTTTTCCCAGGAAAGCAAGCCTGTAACCTTTGGGTTTCAGGTGCAGTTGGTGGGTTTTACAGATTGGTCAGGGGCTGCAATGTGGTTCTTTAGATGACTACTTCGAAGGCGAGATTGAGGCACAAAACTCCAAATGTTAGGTCTCAAACAGACAATTTGCTTTCTTTGTAGCAATAAGTAATGGTAAAATCGAGGCGGGAGGGGAGAAGAAGAGGGAGAGATAGGGAAAAGGAAAGTACAAAAAGGTTACCACCCCCAGTGAGAGATCCAGGTGTAGTCAGCCTCAGGCAGTCATGGAAGGGCCGCTGGAGAGAAGCAGGGGGGAAACAGACTGGATGCAAGACAGACAGGAGACGGAGCAGGTGGGACATGAGCAGGACAGAGGCAAGCAGGATGGAGCGAGGAGTGGGGACCAGCAGGGGACCCTGGCCAACACTGACTGGACTCACCACCACGCTGGGCACTGCCTTAAATCCCCCCCTGTGGGCGCTCACTGGCCAGCCTGGCACCGGGCACACCTTTACACGATGTTGAATGGCTAAGCTGCTGGTATACAGGCAGGCTGGCTCTGCCAAGGCGGGAAAATGTACCAGCTTTCTGTTGGAGACTCTCCAGGGGTTCCCCAAGACTCCAGCAAGCAGTCTAAAATGTTTTCCTAGGCTGACGAAGACAGCCCTGCAAAGAGCTAAAGCCGGTGTCCACAATTCTGTTCAGTCACTGGGCTCCGGGGGAGGTTCCTGGTAGCCTTTTCACTTGGAAAGTACATCACCTGATGGAAATACTTTCGTTAGTGTGAAGTGGTTAATTGCCGCTTGGGACACTTTAAACGACTTGAAAGAAGCCTTGCACAAGGAGCTTAATGTAAGAAATAAAAAATCTATTACAACCAACAACTGGTCCTAGCAGCCAAAGCTTCCAGGCTTTCTTTCCTGGGGGAAAGGGCTGCTGTTCCCTTCTTTCAGCCCTGAGCTGCAATGGCCGGTCCCACCTCCCCAAAACTGAACACAAATGAACATTCCTCCCAGACAAAAAGGTGCCACTACAGAAAGGTCTTGCTGCCCAAGAATGCCCAGGCTGCCCCAACAACTGCACCTCAAAGCCAGAGGATGCAGACTTCTTTTCCTGGTGGAAAGGGCTGCTGTTCCCTTTTTTCAGCCCTGCACTGCAATTGCCAATCTAACTCCCAAAATTTACTCCAAATGAAGATTCCTGCCAGACAAAAGGTACCACCACAGAAAGCTCTTGCTGCCCAAGAAGTGCCCAAGCTGCCCCACCAACTGTACCTCCAAGCCAAAGCTTCCAGGCTTTCTTTCCTTGGGGTAAGGATGCTGTTTCTTTCTTTTCAGAACCCTGCACTCGACTCCCAAAATTGAAGACAGACAAAGATTACCCCCAAACATGAGGTGCCCACTCCAGGCCTCCCTGGACACTCTGCCAGTGCCACATCAAGATCCTGTACAGCAACACGTGCTAGGTTGTGTCCTACGGCAAAAGCAGGTGTTCCCGACTCCAGGGCTCTTTCCCGATCCAGTATGGCAAGAGCAGGAGACGGAGTATCTCGGCACCTCAGTTACTTCTGGCAAGAGACTCCATCCCTCCCAGAGCCTCTGGGAGACCTGCCGGAGTCACACACAGGAGTCCCTCTGGCCAGGTCTCCCTGGGGAAGAGGGAAGAGCGGGGAAGAGCAGAGCCCGCTCCTCGCCGAGGATGCACATGGCAGCAAAAGGCTGCGGGTAGGAGTGGGAGCCCAGGCCATTGCAGTCTAAGATTCCCAGGAGCAGGTGGCCCAGCAGCTCCTGTCCCCAAGACACCAGTTCTCAATCCACGGCTCCCAAGAAGCTGCGGCTTTGCCGGAGGAGAAGATCCTTTCTCTGGATCTGGACAAGATCGTCCAGTGACGAAGGCAAGTGCTTCCAACTCCAGGGCTGTCTCTTGAGCCGCCTCTAGAGTAGAATATCAGGGAATATCTCCGCATCTCTGTTCCTCCCTGCGATAGCCTCCATCCCTTCCCCAAGCTCTGGCAGTCCTGGTGGACTGCAGGCAGATTAGCCTCTGCCTAAGGGACAAAATCCAGCCTATACGGCAAGGACTTCAAGTATTTCTGTTTTGAGCCAGTAGGGCACTGCAGTACTGTTGTGTAAACACTAAATAAGGAGAAGGGGAAGGAAGAAAAGAGAAACTTTTTTTTTTTGGTTGCAAATAGGTTTTTTTCACGTGGGTTTAGGGTGGATATTTGGGAAAGGTTCTTCCCTCCGAGGGTGGTTGGGCACTGGACCAGGCTCCCCAGGGCAGTGGTCACAGCACCAAGGCTGGCAGAGTTCAGGCACACGGTGTGACTCTTGGGGTCGGTGCCGTGCCGGGCAAAGGCTTGGACTCGACGCTCCTTGTGGGTCCCTTCCAACTCAGCATGTTCTGTGATGGTGCGATGAGTTCCCTCTCTTTCAACACTTTTGTTCTTTTTAGGGCTCCTCGCTGCCCGGGGGCCGAAGCCCGCCTTCCGCGCGCCTGCTTCCCTGGCCGTTGTGGCGGCCGCAGCCAGGCGCTGAGTGCCCGCTCCCGGGCGGGCTCGGCCGCTCGCTCCAGGAGTGGGGGGGCAGCGCCGGCGCCTCGAGGATTCCCGGGATTCCCTCGCCGGTTTCCAGGCAACGCTCCCCGCGCGCTCCGCGCTCCACGGCCGAAC